GACACAGCGAGAGAGGGAACACAGCAGGAGGAGTGGGAGAGGAAGAAGCAGGCTTCCTGCAGAGCAGGGAGCCCAATGCGGGGCTCGATCCCAGGACTATGGGATCATGACCTGAGCTGAAGGCAGACGCTTAACGACTGAGCCACCCAGGCAGCCCTGGATTACAAAATTTTAAAATTCAAAACTTCTCTACAGCTCTGCTTTCCTCTGCTCTGTAAAAAGCATTCTTTCTCATATAGAGCAGGTTCTACTGAACCTAACCCCTCGAACTTTGTTCAGAAGAAGTCATGACCAAATCATCAAGCTGGAACATGAATTTGGCTTTATTTACCACAACTTGTCTTTGTTATGGTTGATATTAAGTGAAACTACATTCCAATACTGATACCTGCTTTCCTTCCTCCCCTAGAAAACTAACACACATTTAGTTCAGTTAACGTTACCTCAACCAATTCTTTTGGTGAAGACAAATTCACATAGCATTATGTAAGCTAATTCATTTAACATCACCTATAAAATACAGAGCTTCACTATGTGATTCTACTAACAAGTGTGCATGATGCACAATAATACCATAGATAAGGGGGAAAAGGATGCTGGAAGAGAAATAAGGTACAAGATACACTTTCAATTTCTCAAGATGAGTGTTAATGTCATATTCTAAAAGTACTCAGGGGGCGCCTGGGTGGCTCAGTCGGTTAAGTGTCTGCCTTCGGCTCGGGTCATGGTCCCGGGGTCCTGGGATCGAGCCCCACATCGGGCTCCCTACTCAGCAGGAAGCCTACTTCTCCCTCTCCCACTCCCCCTGCTTGTGTTCCCCCTCTCGCTGTCTCTTTCTGCCCAAAAAAAAAAAAAAAAAAAAAAAAAATTAAAAGTACTCAGAGCTTCCAAGTTCTCAAAAAGAGTGATCAATAAAATGAAGTCCTCAAATATCTAGGAATAAATCTCAAAGGATGTGTAAGATCTATAGGATGAAAAAATTATATTATTGAGAGAAAATAAAAGACAAATGAAGGGAAATACCATGATCACAGACTGGAAGATTCAATATTGTAAAGACATCAATCCTACCCAAACTTGAACTACAAGTTCAAGTGTAGTAATCCCATGTAATCCCAATCAATATCCTAAGCAGATTTTTCTGTGGAACCAGACAAACTAACTGTGAAGTTTATATGGAAATATAGAGAGCCAAGAAAATCTTAAAGAATAGCAAAACTGATACTTATTCTACTAGAGACCAAGTTTTATTATAAAGTTAAGACAATTATGACAAATAATGAAATTAGAGGGAGTCCAGAAACACCATATATATGATTCAGATGATTCATGGCTAAGATGACATGACACTGGAATGTGGAATGGGTGTTTTCAATAAATGATCATGTCCACTGAGTACCTATATGGAAAAATATGAACCTTGAAGTTTGCCTCATACCATACACAAAAATCAAGTCCAAAAGTACTGTAGATTTAAATGCGAAAGGTAAAACAATAAATAAAAGTTCCAAGAAGAAAAGTTTAGAGAATACATTAATGACCTGGGGTAGGCAAAGATTTCTTAAACAGGACACAAAAAGCACTAATCGTAAATGGGAAAACAACTTACATGAGATCACATTAAACTTGAGAACTTCTAGTCATCAAAAGACACTCTTAAGAGTAAAAAGGCAAGCCACTCAGTGAGAGGGCGTATTTACAATACATATATCTGACAAGATTCTTATCCACAATATATTAAGAAGCCCAACAAACCAATTAGAAAGAAAAGCCAATAGGAAAATGTACAAAAGAGTACACTAGCTAGTTTTAGAAAGAGGATATCGAATTGGACAATAATTACATAAAAAGGAGCTTGACTTCTTTAGTCATCAGGGACGTGCAAATTAAAACCACAATGAGATACTACTACACACCCACCAGAATGGCTAAAATGAAAAAGACAGACACTACTAAGTGTAGCCAAAGATGTGTACCACTGCTGGTGGGAATGTAAATTGGTACAGTAACTTCTGGAAAACCTGTAGTAGCTAGTAAAGCTGAACATTTGTGTACTTTTTGATCCTGAAATTCCAATCTTATATACATACCCAATAGAAACACATATGTCCAATAAAACACATGTACAAAAATATTCACAGCACCCCTGTTGTAACCGCCACAAACTAGAAACAAATATCCATCCACAGTAAACAGAACAAATAAATTGTCGTTTATTCATACAACAGAAGGCCATACAGCAACGAGAAAATACTTATTACATACAAGATGGATGAATCTCACAAACATAATGCTAAAGGAAAGAAGCCACATACAACAATTCACATACTATTTGATTCTATTATAAAAGTCCAAAAACAGGCAAAATTTATCTGTGGTATTTGAAGTCAGAAAGTGGTTACCTGGGTGTCTGGTGGGGGGCACCAAGTAGCGACAAAGAAGGGTTTGGAGGAAGCTCTACTAAGCTAGTAATATTCTACTTCTTAAAATTATAATGTGTGCATTTAGTAAAGCTCCATTAAGCTATACATTTATAATGTGTGCATTCTGTGTACATATACTTCAATAAAAAGTTTATTTAAAAAATCAGTTTAACTGGGGGTGCCTGGGTGGCTCAGTCGTTAAGTATCTGCCTTCGGCTCAGGTCGTGATCCCAGGGTCCTGGGATCGAGCCCCGCACCGGGCTCCCTGCTCCGCGGGAGTCTGCTTCTCCCTAGCCCTGTGCCCCTCCTCCCTGTGTTCTCTCTCTCTCTTTCTCTCTCTCAAATAAATAAATAAAATCTTAAAAAAAAAATCAGTTTAACAAAAGCTTCAAAAAGTTTATCTTTAAAAAATTTTTTAATTAAAAATGAAAAACAAAACTATCATATGATCCAGCAATTTCACTTCTGGGTATTTAACCAAAGGAAATGAAATCCTATCTTGAATAGATAGATGCACCCCCTATGTTTACTGCAGATCCCTTTCCCCCAGGTCCTGGCAGCCACCAATCTGCTGTCTGTTTCTATAGATTTACCTATTCTCATTATTTCATATAAATGACATCATACAATATGTGACCTTTTGCAACTAGCTTCTTTCACTCAACATAATGTTTTGAAGATTCATCCACACTACGTATCAGCATGTATCAGTATTTCATTCCTTTTTATGGCTCAATAATATCTCACTGTGTGCATGTATCGTAATTTAGTCAATTCCTTATCAGTATATAAAGTATTTGTGGTAATTTTTGATCTTCAGTACTTGCTGAACTCCCTACCCTAAACCAACACACTCAAAAATCCTCATTCAGGGGCACCTGGGTGGCTCAGTCGTTAAGCGTCTGCTTTGGGCTCAGGTCATGGTCCCAGGGTCCTGGGATCGAGCCCCACGTCGGGCTCCCTGCTCCGCGGGAAGCCTGCTTCTCACTCTCCCACTCCCCCTGCTTGTGTTTTCTCTCTCGCTGTGTCTCTGTCAAATAAATAAATAAAATCTTAAAAAAAAAAAAATCCTCATTCAGAAGCTAGCCTTCACCTATTCAACAAAATGGAAAGTTGTAATATTATATATCAAGTCAGTGTAACAACTCTCTTTGTATAACCTGTTAATATTCTATGAAATATTTCTAACCAACAGCCCTGTGAATTGAGTAATATTATCTTTATTTTGTATGTGAGGGAAGTCAGACACAGAGCTTAAGTAGCTGTCTAGTGTCACAGCTGGTAAACAACTAGACCAGGGCTAGCTCCCTTCTCTTTCCGTCCACCACGTATCAGAGCTCATCCAGCTACCCACACTAACCCAGTCACACTACAATGACTACACAAAAATTTGGAAGAGAGGTTCTCACGTTCAGGACAAGAAAAGCCTCAAGTTATAAACTGGTTTAGCATGTAAGTTAGTCCCTGTAATTCAGAAAGCATTTTCCCAAATTAAAAAGCTCTATAAATGGTTTAAAAAAATCATTCTCTGGAAGGATACCACAAATTAGATTAAGAGACAGCTTTTCCTGGGAAGAATGAAGAAATCAGAAATAAAAGTATGTGTGCATGTGACTGGACGTCCAGACTATCATTTAAGGTGGAGACTATAACTTAAACACATATCAAAAAAAGAAATATACTCAGAGTAAGTAAAACAGTTCTGGATGAAGACTAAGGAGATTGTGTTCTACTCCTGGTACTGCTGCCAACCTTAAAATAGAAGTTACTCCTATCTATGTTTGTTTGCATATCTGTAAAGTGAGAAAGGTTGGGATAGATGATCACTAAGATCCCTTTGAGACTACTTTTTTCCCTCCTTCCAAACTAGAATGATGTCAATTATTCCTTAGAAAACTGGGAACTTTAGCACCCATAAATATGAAAATTGGCTGATCTCCTGGCCTAAGGAGTCCCTGATCTGAGAGTGGCAATGGCCTTTTAGATGAGCCCCCTTTTAGATGAGCCCACACTGACTTTCAAGAGCAAATGGACTTGATTCTGCCTCTGCTTTCTAAAATAATGTATATTCTACACCACAGAGAAGGGTAGGAAAATGAAGTTAGCTCAATAAATGCACTGCTACACTAATCTCCTCACATAAATGCAGAATTAACTGACTCCTTTGTACCACAATATATTTAACAGCTAACATTTACTCAGCACCCACTATCTGATGCATCCAGTGTTAAGCAATTTTAAGGCATAAAGCAAGAAGACTTTAGGTGATTTTTAGGTAAGAGAACTGCTTACATGGGAAATACATGGCTAAATTCATCTCAGTTCATTTCCAAAATAAATACTTGCAAAAAAGGACAACAAAATCTTATTTCATTATCTTTAAGAAAAAAAGAGATTAAGTAGACTCTGAAATTCAAACTCTTACGTTCACATCAAGAAGGTAATTTATTCTTAATATTCCCAAGAGTTGTCATTATATTCTTACCTTTTTATTTCAAACCTATAACAAAATGAAAACCTGAAACTTGTCTAAAACACGTAACTAAAAGTTAAAAAAAAAAACTAAAAACCTCTTACCTGAGCATGAAAATTGGACATAGTTGTCGTTTCTATATCCTTCTTTCCTAATATCTCCATTTTCACTGGCGAATTGGGAAAATTAAATGAAAAGTAGTCTAAAAAGTCAGGTAAATAAGTAGCTGCCCCATGAACAATACCCATTACATAGAAAGCTGCAGAGTTTTCATTTTCACTGAACACTAGATCCACAAACTCTTCGGCAAACCTCTCCATCTCCATAGGAGAAAGGTGGGAGAGTTCATTACTGTAGGCATGGATAACGGATGCACCTCCATTAGGCTGGTGCTCAATATGAATGAGCTGTTTGAACTCCAAAGTGTCCAACCTTTTGAGGTTATTCTGAACCCGTGGCTCCTTTAATGAGACAAATGGAAACTCACTATTCTCAGGAATTTTGGAATCATAGTTCTTGTTATCCAAACTCTTTCCACTGTAATCCTTTACGTTATCATTTAGGATGCCTTTGGCTTCTTGATCTTCAACATCAGATAGCAATCCTGAGCAGATGGTTTGAATAGATTTGCTATACATTTTTGGACGCTTCCGTTTTTCATTCTCTTTGTGTTTCTTCTTCTTTTTCTTCTTTACTTTCTTAATTTGTAAGTCTTCAGCATTTGTTTTTGGTTTCTCCTTCCCACCTGTTGGAAAAAAATTTCTTTAAAAACTCCGTACTTTAGTTACTTAAAAAAATCACACTTAAGGACCTGTCTTACAATAAATAAGCAAAGTTTACTCAGATTCAGGCTTATATTTGGGACTTGTTTCACACAGTATTGATAATCATAATTTAGTCTCTTTCCCTCTCTCTCTACACACACACACACACACACACACACACATACACACACAAAGGTCTAGGACAAACTTACACCTATAGTGTGCAGGTACCATTCTGACATGTAACAGATTCTCAGTCAGTGTTTATTGAAGTAATGAATGGAAGTTTTAGAAAGCATAATCTTCAAATTTAAATGCAGAAAATCAGAAATGGGAAGGTGAACAGAGGTCAATATGAATAATGCCTTCCAGATGTTTTCCACTGATACATGTCATTTTTATGCATCTGAGTTCTTCAAAATTGCATTATGCATCAAGACTTGTAAATCACAAAGGGAGAAAATGACTTGTATAATATAACAGCGACAAAACACACCAATTCCTTAGCTTTTTACCATATTTCCTCCTTAGTAAACTACTCTTGTATCTAAAATGGGCTATTTTAGAGGTCCACTGGAGTTTGCAAAGTTCCTGATGAAAACCCAATAAGGCACCATAAAGATGACAGAATTAGAATAATTTCTCATGTCCTAAGCATAAATGATACCATGTACTAGTAAAGAGATGAATATAAAAGTAAAAGATTTGGGGCATTATAAGTTTATATATTAATGAGCTTCTGTAACTGAAGTCAGGTAGACTCTGCACCCAGAAATTTAGAACTCCAAAAAATAAGAGTAATCCACGGAGTCTATACAGCTATAGACTAAGTGTACATATAAACACGTAACATTATCACAATATATTTCTGTACAATAAGAAAAAAGGAGAAAGTAAACATCTTCACAAGAAAATATTATGCTTCCTAAGATAATATGAGAAAGCCATTAAGATAAGAGTTAAGAAGGCATTCACTGTTTCCACCTGTTATTTCACTTTTATAGACAACCTGTTACGAATTAAATCTTCCCAATCTGCTTCCTTACCTCAATTTTTCCATATTCACGTGTCTTTTATTCCTATCTCCAGTGAGTGAGATGTCCTGCCTACTTTTCAAAAATAAGTCCTTCCCACCAATTCCAAAAACCCTTACAAAAATAGTTCCCTCTCCTCTTCTTTTGACCACACTTCTCATAAAGAACCCTCTATGCCAAGTGTCTTCCGTTTATTATCTTATCATTCTTGTCCCTTAAATTCTAGGTCTGCTTCCAGTCTACTCAAATTTACTTTCCCAGAATGTTCAAATATCAAATCCAGTGATATTATTTCAAATCATTCTTCCTGATCTCTCCAAGGTTTAACAATTATCCAGTTCATCCTTGATTTTTTCATTCTTTATTAATTTTTGGTCTAACAGCTTCATGACCAGCATCCTGAATTCTGGAGCCAAATTAATCTTTCTATAAGTTTTATATATTGTTTGATCATATTCATCCCTTGAGTAAACTTCTTTCAAGGGTTCTCAATACCTACCAAATAAAATATAACCATTCCAGTATGGAATCCCAAGACAATGCTCTCAAGTACTTTATTCTCTGGTCAATCTGCATTACTTAAAATTTCTTATAAAACACTTAGTCCTGCCTTATCTTTCTACTACTTGCAAAGGCATTTCCTGTCCCTAAAATACTCCTGTCCTGACCTCTTTCTTACCTATTCTTTAAAGACAACTCATATCATTTCCTTCATTTTGCTTTCCCTCATTTCTCTAGTTGGAACTGGAATCACTTCATTCTAAATTCATAGTTATTTTTTTCACTCATAGGATACCTGTATATCAGACGTCCTTCCACATATTGTATGAGTGAAACAAGTAATTTTTATATGATTTCAGAGTGAAGTGATACTTTTCCCCCGTCATTGTAACCTTTGTGGCATTTAATATATCATTATAGATGAATATTTAATGAATCCATGAATGAAAAGATTTTACTCACCAACAAACTAACTGAGGTTTGTGTAATTTTTCCTTGTCCCCCTTTCAGCCGAAGTTTTCCACAATATAAATGCCACTAAATCCTAATCTTAGAAACAAACATAAAAATTCTCTCAAGTTGGGGCGCCTGCGTGGCTCAGGTGGTTGAGCATCAGACTCTTGGTTTCAGCTGAGGTCATGGTCTCAGGGTCATGATATCAAGCCCTGCAAAGGGCTCCATGCTCAAGCTTGGAGTCTGCTTGGGATTCTCTCTCCCTCTCCTTGCCCTTCCTGCTTGTGTGCATTCTCTCTCTCTCAAATAAATAAATATTTTCTTAAAAAAGAAAATTCTCTCAACTTGATGGCAATTCTAAAAAGGGGAAGTTTACTGTTAACAGTAAACCATCACTTCTAAAAATGCATAAATAGGGGCACCTGAGTGGCTCAGTCCTTAAGCGTCTGCCTTCAGCTCAGGTCATGATCCCAGTGTCCTGGGATCAAGCCCTGCATCGGGCTCCCTCCTCAGGGGGAAGCCTGCTTCTCCCTCTCCCACTCCCCCTGCTTGTGTTCCCTCTCTCGCTGTGTCTCTCTCTGTCAAATAAATAAATAAAATCTTTTTTAAAAAAATAAAAAATAAAAAAAATTCATAAATATGCAATGAAGACTGACTTGGTATAATCATGAAAAGCAAAAATAAAAGCCTTTCAACTTTATTGATTAAACAGGTTTGTAAAGTCATAAAATTCTCTGAGGAGTCTACTTAGAAGTAAATATATTGACAAATTCATACTTGCTACCTAGGATGAACTATCAAAACATGAGATTCAGGTTAATATCTTAACAAAATTAATGAAAAAAATTAAAATAGGGAGGTAATCAGAATAAAAGATAAAAGAGGTTTTATATGTAAGCAAAATCAAAATGTGTCAAGGAAAAAAGACAGCAGTGAATTAAAAAATATAACTTAAAGTTTAAAAGGCCTAAGTATAATAACTAAGTTGAAAATACATGTAAAATTACATAAGTTAAATGGATTGCCAAAATAAACAGAATTTCATTTGAATGAAAATATAAGCTTAATATCCTATTACATTTATGCCTAACACATGTTTAAAAAGTAAAATAGAGGGGCGCCTGGGTGGCTCAGTCGTTAAGATTCTGCCTTTGGCTCAGGTCATGATCCCAGGGTCCTGGGATAGAGCCCCGCATCGGGTTCCCTGCTCAGCGGGAAGCCTGCTTCTCCCTCTCCCAACCCCCTGCTTGTGTTCCCTCTCTCGCTGTGTCTCTCTCTGTCAAATAAATAAATAAAATCTTTAAAAAAGTAAAATAGAAAATATCCAGTCAATAGGATATATGTTACTTTGAAATGAAATAGGCACAACAGTCTATCTATTCTCTAGTCACGAGGATGGATGAAAATAGCAATAGTATTAAATAGTCAGATGAAAAATGCAAAATAGTAAAAAAAAAAAAATCAGTTAAGAGAGTCTCATAATGAGCATTAAGGAATTAAATTCCCAAGACAAGCTACTCTGTAATTAAATACTAAAGTGAGCACAGTATGCAGAAGAGAGTTAACATAACATGCCTGAGACTGCTAATCTTAGGAAGGCCTGCTTGCAAGGTTGGCCCTTGGCTGGCATCTGAGAAACTTGTTCTTTGGGAATGTTCCCACAAATCCCTGCTAAGAGTGGCTCACTGTACCTAAACTTTTTGTGTAAACAATCTGTTTTGTACTGAACACATGTTTTCCTTCTGAGAGCCTGGAATTTTGGTACATGCTAGACAGAAGGTGCCTATGTAACCAACCTCCAACAGAAACCCTGGGCATCAAGTCTCTAACGAGCTTCCTGGTAGACAACATTTCACATGTGTTGTCACATGTGTATCCTGTGTGATTCCACTTAGACACTACTCTTGGAAGCTTATGCCTGGTTTCCTCCAGACATCCCATGTGCCTTTTTTCTCTACAGATTTTACTTTGTATCCTCCACTGTAGTAAATCATAGCCATGAGTACATCTATATGCTGAGTCATAGGGGTCCTCTTAACAAATCACCAAACCTGGGGGTAGTCTCGGGGACCTCTGATGGACACAGGTAAAATGCATTCTTTACATTTAAACCAAACCGAGGCACCAGCATTTACTAGATAGATTTTTAAAGTTTTATATAATCTGTCATTCATTTCCTGTCTTAGAATGACATATGAAATGCAGTAGATATATAGTGAGAAAATTTTAAAAATACTTTAAGGAAAACCAAAAATAAAAATAAAAATAAAAATAAAATACTTTAAGGATATTAGACAATTTTGAATATCAATGTTCTTCTATTACACTAAAAAGTACTTAAAGTATACCTTTCTCTAAATCCTGTAAATCTTCAAATCAGACTTATACTCTATTAAAAGGATCCTAATAAGCACCCATAACAGAAAGAATAGAAGTGTTGTAATTTGGACCCTCAAAAAGTATAAAGGTATAAGGCTGATAGGGAATCCTCCCTCCACAGATCCACAGATCTATGCACACAGTGGACCCCAGACAAATACACATACACACGGCACCACAGACACACAAATGCAAACAGAGGCAATGAGAGATTCAGACACAGAGAAAGGTGCACACACACAGCCAGAGAGAAAGAGACCGTCACTCAAAGACAGAAAAACACACACACAGAAACAGAAACAAAAACAGTATATGTTAATGGCTAATTATACCAAAAAAACCTTTTAAAAAAATCACAAATTTACTGGCATTTATTTGCACCACTAGCCTTAGTATACTTTGTGTTAATAGGAAAAATAAAGGCTATCCAGAAAAACTGGTTCTGATTTCATATCTAATATGAAAATTAATATTTATATATAACTCCATTATCATACATAGAAAAAAAGTAGTAATTAGCTTAGCTATTTTCAATGTCTGGTCTTGGGGGAATGACTTCGCTTTTTTTGCACAGCAATATTTTCACTCTTCCTGACAAGAATTACCCACCTATGACCGACCGACCTTTGGTATACTACCAATAATCTTGGATATTGGCTTCTCTTAACCCCCATGCCCACTGCTCATCAACAAGCTTCTCTGATATACTATAATCATAAAACTTACTCTCAAAAATACTATAATCATAACATCTCTGTTCTTAACAACTTTTCATAACAAAAAATATGGCTGGAACATATAAGTATGCTCAGAAAAAGTAGCTGGCAGACATTAACTATAAAAGGATGAGCTGAATAAGCTTATGCGTCAAATATATTTGTTCCTTTAAACTATTTCTCATAAAGCAAATAATCCTATTTCATCAGTGAAAAACATTTACAGGATTTCTGCAGTAATAAAAACTTTTTAGGGGGCCTGGGTAGCTCAGTCGGTTAAGCAGCTGCCTTTAGCTCAAGTCATGATCCCAGGGTCCTGGGATTGAGCTCTTCATTGGACTCCCTGCTCAGCAGGGGTCTGCTTCTCCCTCTCCCTCTGTGCTCTTTCTCTATCTCAAATAAATAAATAACCTTTTTAGCATGTATATAATTATGTACATATCTCTAGTATACTCAATTTGATGCAGTTTTTGATGAAAACCTGAAGGCAATGAGACTGGTGTGAAGTAAGAGTTAGCATCTATTTTAGATGCTCAAGTGCTGTCATCAATCAATGCCTGAGTAGCCACAGCCTGCAACATTAGCCTTATCAGAAGGAGAAAATTATAAAGACAAAATAAAGGTTAAAAGCCATGAAGGAAAAAGGGGCACACAGTAATAACAGCACACCCCCCCCACCATATTGATTCTGTTGTTGTTGCATGACACCAATAACAAAGAGGGCCTTTCCCTGATCATAAACTAGCAGAGCAAACTGTTTTTACTAGACAATAACAATAGCTAACACTTGCCGCTTACACGGGAACAGGCACCATTTCCCAAAGAATCGTGTTTTATTCATTTAATTATCTATATCTTACCCACGTAGGAGATAATTTTGTTGTTTTGCAATCACAAGAGTTAATCTTTCATACATGTTTACAAAAAAGATTCATATCCACTTCTTGAAATATCTGTGGGCCAAACACATTACTTGGCACTTCCACCATACCTTACCTCATTTAATCTTCACAACCCTGTAAGGCAGTAATTAAATTATTATTTACCTCTGTTTTACAGTAAATACACTTTCCCTCGGTCATCTCAGAGGTCACGAATTCATTTCCAAAACTATCTCATTTTTCCCCCTTTATCATCACTAGGTTTTCAGTTTAGCTCAGTTCAAAATACCTCCTAGATTTTTCACCTACTTCAAAGTCAAGGTTATTATTGCCTATTACTGAAAAATCTCCATTTTCTGGGGCTATTTTAAATTTTATTTGTATATGTAATCTCTAGATTCACATATTTCACATTAATGGTATGTAAGGAATCCAACATTCAACCCAGCAACATCACTGTACATTCCACTGGATAAGAAAATGATTATCTGACTAAACCAGTAAAAAATGACTATTTGACTAAACCAACAGGGTAAAGTTAAGTAAACACTTCAAGCATGAATCATGAGCTGCTGTACAGCACTAGGGTGGTTAGACTTGACTCCTGCTTCAAAGTCTTACAATCTAATTGGAGAACACAACAAAAACACAGTCAAAAGAAACAGAATAAAAGGACCATGAGCATTAACTAAGTAGTCATCGACTTAAGCTCTGACCTGCTTCTTCCAAGGTCAAAAGAATCTTATAAAATATAAAGTTCTGACAAGTAGAAAATAGAGCTTAAAGTGTGACCAGGAAACATGACAAAGAATGAAATGAAACTACAGAATCTAATATTCTGTTTATCTTAAATAATATAAATTTTAACCAATTATTTCATTATACATAGAGTACTACAGCCTTTTCTTCTTAATGTAGATATAATGGTTTATTAACACATAAATTCAACATCCAATTAATCAATGTGTTCTGATCTACAAATTGTCAATAGGGACAGGTAATGAATTTGTTAGCTGCCTAGCAACCGAAGTGCCACTGATTATCCTGCTACCAGAGTGAATTTAAAACTGTCCTGGGGCGCCTGAGTGGCTCAGTTGTTAAGCATCTGCCTATGGCTCAGGTCATGATGCTAGGGTCCTGGGATGGAGCTCCCTGCTCCACGGGAAGCCTGCTTCTCCCTCTCCCACTCCCCCTGCATGTGTTCCCTCTCTCGCTGTGTCTCTGTCAAATAAATAAATAAATAGGGGCGCCTGGGTGGCTTAGACAGTTAAGCATCTGCCTTTGGCTCAGGTATCGAGTCCCGCATCGGGCTTCCCGCGGGGAGCCTGCTTCTCCCTCTGCCTCTCTCTCTCTCTCATGAATAAATAAATAAAATCTTTAAAATAAATAAATAAAATAAAATAAAACTGTCCTTACTTTTATTTCTACCACACCATATTCCCTGAAAAAGTTCAGATTTATTGATAGGATTTGTATTATTACCCAACCACCCCCCAACCATGTATAAACAGCAACTGAAAACAAATGTAACAATAGAGAAAAAACAGCAAACAAAAACAGGATGTTCTTTAAGCCTGCAAGAAACACTCGGTAAAACAGTATACCTTCTTTTTTTTTTTTAATAAGATTTTTATGTATTTATTTATTCGACAGAGAGAGAGGGAACACAAGCAGGGGGAGAGGAAGAAGGAGAGGCAGGCTTCCTGTGAAGCAGGGAGCCCGATGCGGGGCTCCATCCCAGGCCCTGGGATCATGACCTGAGCCGAAGGCAGACACTCAATGACTGAGCCACCCAGGTGCCCCAAAACAGTATACCTTCTAATTCAGTTCAGAGTAAAATGTTCCCTCTATGATACCAGACTATGATATGGTGATTACAGTCAAATATTTTTAAGCTCACTTCTTTTACCATCCCTACCATACTGAAATTGTTTTAGCCTGTTTAGATGATCTAAATATGGGTAAAGACTAGTAATGCAAACAGAATTGGATAACCTATATTTAAGGAACCTAACAGTTTAATGAAGGCTAACCTTTTCTACTTTTTCATGACTCACTAATGAAATATACTAAAGACATTACTATACAGATTAGAACTCCCCACTATTACAAAACTTTCCATATTCTTACCATTAAAGTTTATTCCAGCAAAATTCAGCAACAAACATTTATTTGAATCACTAAGCCAGTAAATACACTGAGCAATATAATATAGTACAACTAAAATCACTGAATATAAACTTACTTTTCAGCAAAATCTTTACTTCTCCATTTTCTTTCTTGATCTCATTCATTACTTTATGCTTTTTCTTCTCTCTCTCTTTCTCCTTATCTCTCTCTTTGATTTTGTCTTTGATTTTATCTGAAAGACAAAACCAAGTAAATATTTAAAACTATTTTATAATTTTTCCCCAAGAACTATGTGCAATTTCTAGAATACACCATGAAAAATCAGAATGAAAAACAAACATGTCTTTTGTTCTTCCTCTCAGGTCTGGGGAAAGAGATTTCCAAATTTCCTGTCATATATTAACATAGAACACATAACATACACATCATAAACTATCAAAATTTATCATTATATATTTCATTCTAGAGATTCTTCTTCTTTAATTCATGTCAACCACAGTATTAGACTAACTTCAAGTCATTTAAAATAACTTTAATCAAGATAATAAACTACAACGGGTAAAGTGCTAGCTTTGAAGTTGGCCGTATCTGAATTAACACCATAACAATGGAAAAATTACTCAATTGCAGTGTCTTAACCTATAAAATGCTGGTTCTCTTTCTCACAGGTTGCCATAAGGATTAAATGAAAAAATATATAAAATGACTACCCAGACCCTGGTATATATATGACTAGATGTTAGTTCCCTTACCCTTACTCCTTTTAAAAAAGGATATGACTGATCTGGCTATCTGGTGATATTAGGATGTTAAAATAAAAGGTATAAGAACTCTAGGAATCATTGATCTGCTTTCTAAAAATTTAAATTTGCGTTTATAAGATTATTTGATGTCCTATTCTTGTTTAATCAAGCTACTATACACACAGCAAAACAGATGTAGAGAATTTCAAAATAGTAATGTAGCCTTTGCCTTCCAAAAAAAAAAAAAGCTTACTATTGATTACAAAGTCATGATTGAAGTACATAAATACTGTAAAATATCTTGTAATGTAACAGATATTATATAGTATATATGCATACTGCAGAATTTCTTAAAATCCTTCCTCACTTTCCTTTCTATAAATACTACCCTAATTCAGGTCCTAATCACCTCATGATTAGATTACCATCTAGATCAGTACTGCCCAGTAGAAATAAAATGTTTACCAGATATGTGAATTTGAATTTTCTAGTAGTCACATTAGACACAAAAACCAACAGGTGAAATTAATTTTAAACAATACGTTTTATTTAACCAATAGATCTAAAAAACGTCATTTCAAAATGAAACCAACACTAACAAATTATTATTGAGACATTTTACATTGTTTTTCACAATAGACTTCAAAATCCAGGGTATATTTTACACTTAACAGCACATCTCAATTCAAAGTGTTCAACAGTCACATGAGACTTGGTGGCTACCACACTGAACAACTCAGGTCTAGGCTACTGAAACAGATAATTCTCAAAAAATTAAGTCCATGTACTTAAACATTTTAAAACTTACATTCATTAATAATAAAAAAATACAAATTCAAATAAGATACTTACCGTGAAACTTACAAAGTGCTTTTTTAAAAGTGATAATACTCAAAGCAGAAGAAAGGATAGTTGATGGGAGAGCAAACAAAAACAGGGACTCACTAATTTAACAAATATGCATCGCTGAGTATAAGAAAAGGCTTAGGGAGACAGAAGTGAGTAAATAAGGTCCTCATCTGTTCATATATAACTTAAATTCTAGAAATAGATGAAGCAGTTCTCACGCTTCAGACCAGTTTGCTAGCAAACTAAAGTCCTTGAAATCCTGTCACAGGCTGTCATCCAGCCATCAAGTGTTACTCCAAATAGCTGGAGCTTAGACACATACGTAAGTTAATATTTCCTAAGTAAACATACATTTTTAATGAACTATTTACGTATCTTTTAAAAATCACAACTGAAGAAAACAGTCATCTATCTCTACATTTCTTTTCCCAATCATCCCTATTAACTTTATTAACCTTAAAGTGTTATTTCAGTAACTACTGAACTTTTAAAGTTTATTAAGATATAATATACATACAGAAAAAACATGTAAGTATACGGCTCAATTTTCACAAAAATGAACAGCACCTCAGGACCCCTCTCATCTTCCCTTCCAGTCTTGATGCAGCATCCGTAAGGGTAACCATAATCCTGACTTCTAATCACAAAGATTAAAATAACTGTAAATTTTAATGGCATATATACAAAAAATTATGATATAATATAAACCTATCACAGTCACAAAATATAAATATTTTTCAGAATACAATTAAACTAGCTTCTCAGGAAATAAAATTATAATATGGTATTACCCAATTTTTAATAAACTTTATTTGTAAATATATTTATACATTACAGACCTTATTTTTTTATTTTTTTGTTTTTTAAAGATTTTATTTATTTATTTGACAGAGAGAGACACAGCGAGAGAGGGAACACAAGCAGGGGGAGTAGGAGAGGGAGAAGCAGGCTTCCCACGGAGTGGGGGGCCCAATGCGGGGCTTGATCCCAGGACCCTGGGATCATAACCTAAGCCGAAGGCAGACACTTAACAACTGAGCCACCCAGGCACCCCGATAGACCTTATTTTTTTAAGATTTTTATTTCTTTGAGAGAGAGAGCGTGCACACGCATGCACATAAGCAGGGGGAGGAGCAGAGGAAGAGGGACAATCAGACTCCACGCTGAGCACAGAGCCAGATGCAAGGCTCAATCTCACCACCCTGAGATCATGACCTAAGTGGAAATCACGAGTCAGACATTAACCAGCTGAGCCACCCAGAGGCCCCTAAACTTTATTTTTTAGAGCAGTTTTAGGTTCTCAGCAAAACTGAACAGAAAGTACACACTGATTTTCCATATGTAACTCCTGCCCCTATACATCCCTATCTATATCTATCTATCTATCTACCTACCTACCTACCCATTTATGAGAGCAGAATGTGGGCGGGGGGCAAAAGGAGAGGAAGAGAGAATCTTGAGCAGACTCCACGCTGAGCATGGGGTTGGATCCCATGACCCTGAGATCAGGACCTGAGCTGAAACCAAGAGTTGGCCACTTAACTGCTTAAACTATACCACCCAGGGACCCCAATTATCATCCCAATTTTTTGAAATTATAATTAATACACATTCAAAAATCAGACTGAAAAATAATACTGCAAATTATTAAAAGCCATTATTTTTTTAAGGTAAATTCTACACCCAATGTGGGGCTTGAATTCATGACCCCAAAATCAAGAGTCACAAGCTCTACTGACTGAGCCAGCCAGACACCCCCAAAAGCGATTATTTTTAAGTGGCAAGAAGTTTCAAAGTTTCTGCAATAGGACCATATTGGGGAAAGGGTCCTAGAATATGCCTTCCGGTATAATATTAAGTAAAGATAAATTGAAGATGTTAAGTAGTATATGAAAAACATCTAGAAACAAAAACAATGACATAGCCAAGACAAGAAGAGTGACTGACAATGTAACTATCATTACCCTCCCACCCCACACTCAAAACCTTCTAAGGAAAGGAAGCAAACACAAATCAACCTAAAAATTCATAGCAGAAAAGTGTTTTTGTGGGATAACTGCTGTCCCAACCTACACACCTGTCTCAATCTTTCAATCTACCTTTCACCCTTCCTAAAATTTTTTGCTTCTTGTCAGGGCATATCCTTTTTCAAAATCCAACTTTAAATGCCTCCATTCAATGTTTCATAATCATGTTACAGATAACATAAAGATGTTGTAAGACATGTTTATATGTTACAGGTAAACATGTTACAGCTACAACAAAGTGGAAAGCCTACAAGTTCAGAAGACCTAGGTTCAAGTTCGGCAACCTTGATAACAAACTTTCAGATCTCCCATTTCAGCTGTAAAATGGAGTTTATATAAAGATTAAATAGGAAATATATACAAAAGCATACTGCAAAGATATGAGCCTTATGAATGCAGAATATTATCTATGTCTATCCATAATATTGAGCCATAATAAGCATTTTTTGGTCATAACAATTTAGAACACCAGTCTATAAAATCGCAGCTCTGCTGTTACTATATTATAATGCATTTGTATTCATAAAAGCCACTTCTACATGTTTTCACAAGGAAAACAGCTCCCTGGCATCATGTTTACTGTAAAATATTGTTCTTTAAAAAACGGTCATTCTTTAAAAAATCATTTCACGACCAAGAATTTGTATGGTTTTACGCTTCGTGGTCTAATCTAAGGTTTAGAAGGAATTTTTAGCTAATTATTGGGATAAAAGTAAAAATTATTCTACCATAAGAACAAGAAATTATCAGTTTTGAAAAGTCCAACTTAATATAAGGGCTGCAAGTTTTATTTAAAAATAAAGGGGGGTGGTGCCTGGATGGCTCAGTTGGTTGAGCGTCTGCCTTCGGCTCAGGTCCTGGGATCTAGCCCCATGTGGGGCTCCCTGCTCAGCAGGGGAGTCTGCTTCTCCCTCTCCCTCCCTCCCTGCTCGTGCTCTTTCTCTCACTCTCTCTCTCAAATAAACAAAATCTTAAAAAAAATGAAAATTAAAAAAAAAAGATAAAAATAAAAAGGGGGTGAGGGGAGAGAGGAAAGACAGATACAAACGGACCCATGATAGAGTTTGAACCTACAGAAGCAGAAGGAATATAAGAATGAAGGAATAAATGCCTAAGTCATTATGAAACCAGAACAAACTACAAATTACACGTGTGGAAAAATACACATGTGCTGAAGACTTACACTATATGTAAAAGTTGTGATATAAAAAATAAAATTGATTAAAATAATTTCAAATAAGATATAAATGGGATTTTCAAACATTCAATTTACTGATTTAGCAATATATTTCAGATTTCATGCACACAATATATTTCTATTGAGCACTTATACGCAAGAGGTGAAAATGAATAATAGTGCTGTAAGACTAAAGAGTCTTACAATGAAATCAACGATATCATTTGAGTCTTACTGTTGGTACCACTATGGAAAACCAGCTCTTAAATAACAAAATCATTGTTTTCATCTGGGTATAATAAAATTTACTAGTCTTCACCTGTATTAAAGTCATTATAATAATATAGAGATGAAAGCATATACACAAATATTAGATGACTCACTTCAGTAAGGAGAAAGTCTAACTTATAAAAAGCATTGTTAGAGAATCCTTTTA